TTAACATTCTTCTTTTTTATAATCACAGAATCACAAAATATGCTGATTTGGAAGAGACCCATAAGAAGCATCAAGTGCAGCTCCTGGCCCTGCACAGCACTGCTCCCAAGGGTCACACGATGCTCCCAAGGCCATTGTTCAAACCCTTCTTGACCTCTGCCAGGCTGGTGTTGGGAGCACTTCCCTGGGGAACCTGTTTCAGTGTCCAAACACCCTCTGGGTGAAGAATCTTTATCTAATATCCAACCTAACCCTCCCCTGACACAGCTTCAGGCCATTCCCTTGGGTCCTGCCGTTGATGACCACAGATGAGGTCAGTGTCTGCCCCTCCTCTTCCCTCAGGAGGAGTTTGCAGACTACAGTGAGGTCTCCCCTCAGTCTCCTCTTCTCCAGGCTGAACAGACCAAGCCATCTCAGCCACTTCTCATGTGACTTCTCATCCAGACTCTTCACCATTTTTATTGCCCTCCTTTGGACATTTCCCTAATAGCTTAGCGTCTTTTTTATATTGTGGCACCTAAAACCACGCACAGCACTCAACAAGAGTCTGCACAAGTGCAGAGCAGAGCAGGACAACCCCTCCCTTGCCTGGCTGGTGATGCTTTGCCTAATACACCTCTGGACACAATTGGCCCTCCTGGCTGCCAGGGCACTGCTGACTCATGTTCAATAGTGGATGATGCAATTAGGCATTTTCTTGACAAAAGGAAAAAAAAAGAGAAAAAATCCTTCCCAAATTGTGTAGTCCAAAAGCCACCTAGCAATTAGATTTCAAACAGTTCAATCCTCTATTTAAATGTCTGCTTGGTTTTATTTTTTAGCAATAAAAGCCTCCTTAATAAGTTTTTGATTTGTTATAATTTGTGTTTAAGTCTCTGTAAAGGGATGGCATCAGCAACAGAGTGTAAATCAAAAGCTTAATAATTTCTTCACTCATTCTGTTGAATTTGCAGCTACAGTTACAATTCATTACCTTGAAAATCACAATTTGATTTCAAAAATCCAAATATAAAAAGGGAAGACTCTCAAACAAATCAAGTATGAACACTCAGTTACATTGAGGCTAATGGGTCATTTACTGTAAGGGTCCATGTTTTTTAGTCTAAAAGGAAAGCAATGTTTTATTTTCTTCCCCTTGTAATCTGCCCATTACCAATCTGACTCTACTGTATAAAACATTGCATTTCAATGGTGTTATGTATCTAGGAAACAGATATTTTATTTTATTCTTGTGGCTAACCTATGCAAGAAATGCAGATACAGAAAATATAAGCATCTGTCTTTAAAATTTATGCCAAAAGAAACCCTGAGCTACAGAGGAACTAAAATTTCAGGAGCCAGATTTTCTCTCACCATACTCTTTAAGGGAAATATCAAATTGGACAATTTTATTTTTCTTCTCTGTCTCTACCTTTCATTGGCAGAAAGAAGAGGGATACTGGCAGATAGAAGGTTATGGAACATTTTTATTGCTTCCTCTTTAGCTCACTTGTAAAGCTGGTAAGGGAGTAAATCTGTATTGGATGATTTCTCAGCTCAGCATGACCATCATGTAGGAAGGCAGAGAAAGTGGTTTTGCTGTTTTTTTTTTTCCCTAATGCTATAGGCAGAGATCCAACAAAGCAAAACGATCTCAAGTGGTTAAGCACAAGGCTGAATCACCAACTGACAATCAGAATACTGAATGACACTGAGGCAATGGTGTACAAAAACACTAATTTAATTCCCTACATTGGAAAAGGAACTAAGTTTTTGACTCTTTGTTAGAGATATGGTGAGCTACAATGGAAAAGTAGTGACTTTATTGTGGTGATTTAGAAATAATTCAGTTTGCTTAACCTAAGGCTTGTGCAGATCTCACAGGATTTTAGCATTTTCTTCTTTTTTTTTTTGTCTTGATATTGCCCTTAGAGATTTACATATTTGAAATTTTAATCTAGCTATATTTTTACTTTAGCTTGAACTTTAGCTCATAAAATCATAAATTCAAGATAGGAGTCAGTGCTTTTATTCAGCTGGACTGAAATTAAGTCAGACAAACCAATGGTGGATGATTTACAACATGTTTATTCCACACAATCTGGATTAAATCTTTTCAGCAAGGACAAATGATATTTCCTTGACCAAAAATCCTAGTACACATCTTCCCAATGATCCTGCTGCACATGCATAGTTCAAGTATATATGCATAGAAGGTCTGATTCAGTGTACGTTGGACTAATTCTACAATTGGCAGACATGAATATATGTATTTGTATATATTCAGAAAATCCCAAGTGTTAGACTTACCTCATGTGCAGATTGATTCCACATTCATGGAGAGTGAAATGTCTGGTATAGATCTAATTTGAAGTTGTTCTTCATATATTGGATGAAAATTTATTATCAAAGTTTCATATAGAAGTAATTTTATAAGTATTTTCAGAATGTTAATTGAAATAATTTTATTTCTAAGAATGCTGCTATAATTTAGCAATACCAATCTTTTAATATTTAATATACTTTTTCATGAATTTTAAGATACAAACCTTTCACATTATCAGACATATATCTTCTGATTAGCATTTAATTCTCTTTCTCACTGTGTTACAGATCATGACAGAATAATGAAAGTAATATGAAAAGCAGTTCTGCATATATTTTCCATGAAGAGATACTCATGTAAGATATTGAATAATTCAGGACTAATAGAAGATTGCTTGACTCTTGACAGGAACTAGTTCTCTTTCTTCCTGAAAAGGAAGAACAGGATAGTAGCAATGCAGAAAAACAGTCGTACTCCCTAATTGTATCCCTAAACTAGGTCATCCATTACTAAATATCTGAACTTGTGTAGCATTACTTGCTGACACATCCCAGGTAGCAGGAATTTTATCTTGTGTTAGTTGTCTACCATATAGCTGAGCTAGTCACCCTGGGTTCTCTTTATAGTCAATAGAGAAAAAGAGACACTATTTAGGGAGAAATCCACCTGACCTATTTCTGACACCTACTTTAGGATGAAATGAATCGTGCCCTAGAAGTGCTGATTTCTCTTCACTGAGCAGAGAAGGAGCACAGAAAGACTAGCTCACCTGTAGAGACACACACTGAAGAGGTCTGAGAGGAGCCTTATCATTTGATTCTGGCCCTTACTTTAATCAGTAAATGACTAGTGTTACAAAAGAAGAGGAGCTTTCAAAATATGATTGAAAGCCTTGCACTTCCCAATATTCTACTATCTGGTGCCATATGCAAGGCTCAGTAAGAAGAGTGATTTCAGTTAGATGGAATGGAAAATGAACCTGAAACCAGATGATTCCCTACACCCCTGAGACTCTCTCTGATCATGAAGTTTTGAACTAAACAGAAATGACATCAAATACTTCCACATTCTTCCTTAGCTCTTACTTTCCTTGAGCATACCACAGCCCTTGTTTTGCTCTAATGAAATATCTGACCTAAATGTTTTGAAAATATTTCTAAAACAAAAAATAATATTAGGTATATTAATATATCTTTTTTTTTCCCTGTATCTGAAGTAGTTTGACAGATTCAACTGAAATTTGAAAATTTCTTTATTTCACATTAGAGATTTAAAAAACAGAGAAAGTTTATTATTATTTCCCCTAGCACTAATTTTGTTGTATCTTCACTGAGAAAGTTTTTTCTCTTCTGAAAAAAAAACAAACTCAAACTTTCTACAAATACAATAGGACTTGGTAGCACTAATGCTTCATATTTTTAATCTTCCCTATAAAAGCAGATACAGTCATCATATAAATATTTTTAAACTGCCATTGTAATGCTTTTTGGTAAATTTTCACTTATTTTATAATGGTGAAATGAGGAAAACGTTTTTTATAAACTACTTGAATTTCCTTTTATTTTTCTTCTTACTATCTTTTAATATTTATCTATTGGTGACTCACTGCTTGACCTATTCTAATATTCAAAAGCCAATCCCTCAATCCTTTAGGTATTGTACTGTAGCTGTTACACTGGAAAGCAAATTTCAAGGTATGTAATTGAAATCTATAGGGACTCTAAGTGCAAAAACACAGCTGAATGATCATCGATATTTTGTAAATTAGACCTCTAAATAATAGATAATCATTATACTCTTAGTAAATTTTTCATGCTCTGTACGTGCACTTAACAGCTGCACTAGAAACGATAGAAGAACTCTGGATACTGTTAATAGATAAGAGCTGATTTTGAGTTTCTAATTACTTTAAATATGATTAAAAGAGATAAATGTTTGGACCACTCAGATATTTTAAATGCACATAGTTTTTCTAATAAATTTAAAGAAAAAGTTAGTCAATTTCAATTTGATCCTATCTGCTTCTTTTAGTATTTTTTTCCCCAAATACATATTCATTTCAACAGTTACAATTCAGTCAAATATTTGTGGCAGGATTTGGAGCTCTTAATTATTAGAATATGCTTGTTTTCCAGACAACATGTTTATTCATAACCAGAGTTACTAGTAGAGTAATGGTTAATATAAGAAAAGAAAAGGACAAAGAAGATATAATGTAAAAAAACCCTAAATTATTATTAATATATGACAAATTTATTATGGACCTTTCAGAGATTTATATTTTTCAACTATGTAATAGTGGAAACAGTATTTTTGCGCTAATTTCAGAGATAGAAAATAGCACTTACTTAACAAAAAAATGTCATTACAAAGAATAATCTTTGTAAATAGCCACAAGTCTAGAAATATTTTTTCTCTTATCAGATGTTGTGTCAGATCTAGTTGCAAAATTTATATCCCTAAAATTTTTTTTGTTGATATAAGAATGACATAGGTACTGATATAAATTCTTCATTGGCTATGTTTGCTATATCACCATTGAATATAAAGAAAAATTAGGTATGTAATTCATATATAAACAATTATGTTCAGCCTTCAACATTAAGGGCTCTGCATCTTGGAGATGAAGGCCATTCCTTAACACATGAATGTTTAGGTTGTACTGAAGTGTACCCCTCCTTTCTTTGTTTCAAAGGCTAGATCATGGTGATGATAATAATTTTCTGGAATGTGGCTGATTCCCTGGATCTTCCTTCTTGACCCTCAGGAAGACAGGAGGTGTGTATGTTTTTTTTCTAGTCCTCTGAAAACAGCTCATTAAGTCACCATGTTGCCATTACTTTTTATGGATAATCTCTAGCATCCTCATAGTGATATCAGCTGGCTGATGTCAGCTCCTTCAGTGCTTGTGGGTACCTGTTACCAAATCCCCTGGATCTGTGTTGTTCCAATTTTTGGAATGGCAAAACTCCAAGATCAGACTTTTCTGCAGGTTTTAGGAACCATGGATCATTGAAAGCCAATCTTAACAATAAAGACCATGATAAGGAAGATTTTGAATATCTCAGCTTTTTCCATGTCCTTTGTTGCCATGCACTCTGCACCACTTAGCAACAGACTCACATTTTCTAGGTCTTCCTTTTCCTGCTGATTTATCTACAGAAGCCCTTTATTGATCATGGACCTTGCCAGATGCAGATTCAAGCAAGTTTTGCTGTATCAGGTATATTAGCAGCAAAAGCAAGACTTATCCTGAGCTGCACAACATTCCCAATAGGATAAGGAACTTGTGCTAAGAACACATACAATAAGTTTTCTTTCTTGAACTATGTTGTCCTTCCCAAACAATAAAAAAGTAATGAAATTCATCAAATTTCCCATATACATGTGATTGAAATGTTTTTTGGTCTGAGTCCCTCTACTCTCTGCACTGTTATTTTTTCTTAAACTGAAACATCATTACCTGTATTTCCTTATAGAAGGAATGAGAAGGGTACAAATATTTTTTGAACATTTTTCAGCATTTTAGACCATATGTACCATGAATGATGTTCCAACTGACGGTATAATAAGGTGCAAAAATTTATCCCCAGTCTAGTACTGTCTGGTTAATATCTACATATGCTACATTAGAAATATTGTGTTCTTTAGACTTCATTCACCTGCCTGTGATAGCTGGTGTTTGTCCTTACCTGCAGGCAACTGAGTTGAACCCCAGATGCCAGAAAAAATGGCACAAGATGAACTTTTATTAAGATGATCTACTTATTAAGAAGTAATGAGATAAAGGATTTATTTTAAAATACAAATCTTTCAAACTAATGAAAGCTTCAGTATCTGTTTCACCAGGTCCTCATTGCTTCATTTTGGTAAGTGCAAGTTTATTTTTAAACTTAAAACAGATTGCCTATTTTTTTATTTTTAGTTTTTGATTTTGTTTTGATTTTGATATCTAAGCATTAAAGAAGAACATTGACTGCTAATGTGTTTTGAAGGTTATGTTCACTTTCCTTGTTTAAAGAATGAGACCTCCAAAGTAAGAATAAGGTCTCACTGAACACAGAATTTAAAAAATATATGTTACAAAAATCTGACAATAATATAATTATCACGTGAGTTACTTGTCAAGCATATGAAAGCAAATGTATGGCCCCTCAAGTGTATTGTAATTGCAGGACAACTATGAGCAGGTAGATGGTTTTATATTCAAATGGAAGAATTTTTTTTTTTCATTTAATTTCAATTTTGGTATAAATAAATATTCCTTTTTACATCCACAGCAGTAAAATAATATTTTAAGAACTTATTTACTTTCAAGTTTTCTATTCCTTATTTAAGCTAGTTTTGCATTGTTTTATTTCCCTTTTGCCCCCCAGTTCTGTCTAAAAAGAAATAAGATTTGGAATCTTTAGCACATTGAGAAAGCTAGATCTGCACAAGAATTGAAGTAATATTGAGCTGTTTAATAAGTATTTCATATTAGAGACTAGTATACTTCTATGATATGCACTGGACAAGGACTAGGAAGTAGCATGTATGAGCTGTTCATAGTACTAATTATGATTCATAAGCCAATTAAAGGGGGGAGACTATTCTATTAAAATGATAGGAGTGCCTCTAAACTTGAATAGAAGGAATTGATTAATCTAACTCATAGATTGTAATTACTTTTGCTTAAATAAAGTAATTATTTATAGGTATACATTAAAACACTTCTACTTTAATAATATTTAAAATACATAACATAATACATTTGCTGAATTTGAGGTAAGTAGATAAATAACCAAAAAGCTCCTAACCTAAGTGTGTTCCTAATGAATATACTAATAACCCTGACACTTAAAATTAAATACCTTCTTTTGCCTAAATGGTGAACATTACCTTACAATGCCAGATAGATTAACTACTTCCAGAAAAACCTAGAGAGCAAGAAATATTGTGTTTATACAAAGAAAAAACTTGTACACTGAAAAGTTCAAAAAATAGCTTTCCAGCTTCTGCTTCAAATCTCTCTGTTCAGTTACCTATTCACCACTGTCAGTAGCTGTGGTTTCCTTGACAGACTTACAACTTTTATTTTCTTTCAACTTTTGCTTCACCAGTATCTACACTGATAAAAATTACTGCCACTTGTCTCTTTACAATATCTCAGCCTTTCCATGAAACCTGCTAACAGCATTGCTGCCTTTTGGTGGTCCCCATTTTTATCTGCTTTGCATCCCATGCCTCTTTGACCTCTTACCATCTTTCTTCTCTCCCTACCAAGAAATAAGCAAGAAAACTAACTTAATCTGTTTTCTCTGCCCTTTGGATCAACACACTATTTTCTAAATCTCTTCAGCATCTTCCAAAGTTAATCTTTTTATCCTCTTTGTCAGGCTTCTGTTGCTTAAACCTTTTCTTTATTATTATAAACATAATTTTCCTTATTCAACATTTCTTGCCTAATCACTTCTGGGTTCTACTTGGTACATTTTATTGTCTCATTTTCACTCTATGTCTTAAAATTCTACAACTTAGTACTGTTCTTACTTTCTTTACAGCATGATTTTTGTGGACCTTTTAGTTTTGGATACTCTTGGATAGACCTGGTCTATTAATATATAACTCCATGGCTGGTGTTACCACCACAATTAGGGCTTTTTCAATGCTAGGGCTGTCTTCATGGCACCAGATCTGCTGGCATCAGATAGCATTCAACTTTCTCATCTTTATGGAAGGTACTTCTGAGGATCATTTAGTCCAACCCCTTGTGAAGGCAGCATCTCCTAGAGCATGTTGTACAGGAATGTGTCCAGGTGGGTTTTGAGTGTCTCCAGAGACGGGAATTGCACGACCTCCCTGGACAGTCTCTTCCTTTGCTACATTCAGTGCTGTGCCACATCCAGTGAAAGTATCTCTCCCTCATGCTGAGGTGGAACTTCATGTGCTTTACCCTCCCATATATCCCTTGTATTGCATGTGCAGAGATTCCTCCCCTGAGTGGGAGGAATAATAAACCTGCAAGATTATTCCCCAAGATGAAGCAGAAGAGATTTGCCCAGGAGCTTTGGTATGGGTGAATAACATCAACATCTACTTAGTAAATGGCTTTGCCAGACTTGATACAATTGCTTTAGTATAATGGTTTCAATATTTCATCATAGTGCACTATATTATGATTGCTTTTATAGCACTCATACTGTGCAATAAATAATTCTGATTAAAATATTTTCTCATTATTATAATAAAAACAGCTTGCTCAGAGAAGTAGTAAATACCCCACCACTAGAAACATTCATGATCAGATTGGACAGCAATCTGAGCAACTTGATCTAGTTGAAGATGTCCTGCTCATTGCAGGGGGATTAGACCAGAGGACCATTAAATATCCCATCCAACCCAAACTATTCTGTGATTTTATGGTTCTATGATTCTATTTCTCTGTCCTCTATTCTTCATTCCAATCTGTTATACATGAAGACATATGCATTTCTTTCTCTTTTCTAAGTTTGTTCTTGCTGTGTTTAAACAGAAAAACGCCCAGAATTCAGGTGAGGGAGCAAAAGCAAGAGAGGTCAGACAAAATGATGGTGCTGTCACAGCTTTTTGACATCATGAGTACTCAGATGTTAGTGAATGGGGCTCAGCTAAGCTTCAAAATAAGAAAAAAAAAGCTCTCAAAATTTCTTCACTACCTTTGATCTGCCTGCTGCCCTTTTTAACTATGTTTTCTGTTGTGCAAGTTTTAAATTTTTTTTGCAAAAATGCAAAGGCATTTATGCTTGCTGAATTGCACAATACCCAGCCATTCGGCAGCACCTCCTTCAGTGACATTTTGTCAGGATATGCTCATTATCACCATAGTAACTGAAACCCTTCCTTCACCCAATTCTACATGTGTCTTCCTTTTCTCTCATCCTTCCTCCTGCTTCTGAGGAAGAATTTATAAGAAGAAGCTTGTATATTATAGGAACAGTTACATGTTGTGTATTCAAAGTAATTGGCATATTTTTACTCACTCTCCAAATTTAGGATAGTCTGAATTTTAACTTCTTACATATGTATGATCAATAATCGCTTGTCTAACTATTTACCAATATTTTGTGATTGGTTTTAAACTGAAAGATGTTGTTTGACAGATCAGACAACCACATTTCAAGAAGAGATTATCAGCACAAAATAACTGAGTCCTACAAAAGAAGTGGACAGCAGAAATTATTCTCAGCAGCAGATGGGAACGGACTGAAGTGAAAAGGAAGCTATCTGGTAAATTACCAGTGATTTACACAAAGAAGTGCATTCACATATTCATCTAAAGCAATATTAGCAATAACAATAAAAATATATTCCAAAGTTAATGAAAATTCAGACATATTAGTCTTAAGTGTATCTTTTTCTGGATTTTCCATCACTTCAGTGTGATACATAGACATTCAGAACACTGTGAAATTTTTTATTTTAGTAATTATTGTTTTTCATGTGGTCCTTAATCATGTGAATGTATTTGGACACTTCTCCTAGGAAGATGAATTTTAATTTATTAAAAACCGTAAGAGTAGATGAATTAGATATAGAAATATATGCCCAAGGAGAAGATCTTTGTACTACTGTTCACTGTTTATCAGCAAGTGTCCTCCTGACACTGAAATACAGAGTCCTGCTCCAGGAAAACTGCCTTGATGGAAGATTATTTAGAGAGACTACTTTTAAGCATTCCACCTGAGGCAAAGCTGATTAAGCACTCTCTTGGGATATCTTGAATTTCCATGAGAACCTGCATGTCATTGATTGCCTGATATTAGTCACGAAGCCAAAGGAAATAGCAGGAAATAGTGATCAGACCTTTCACAAAAGTTTGAAGAACAACTTGAAAAAAAAAGTTATTTGTCAAAGGTTGAATACATAGCCTGTGTCAAAAGTCATGGCAAACTGGTTTTTTTACCCACACTGAGGTGGTTTAAGGCTATTAAGGCTCATTTTATGATGCCTGAGAAAGTGTAATATGAATAGAAAACTTAGGGGGCTCAGATAATATTTTTTCTAGGTCACATCCATAGTTCTTCCAGCCAACTGATGGGGTTATATATAGGAGAGCCGTTAACAGCTTTACCTGTTAACATTAACAGTGTTATATTTCCCTATGATAGCTACCCCTGTCTAATCCAGATCTGTCAAGAACTGAGCTGGCATTTTAGTCCATGTCTTGTCTAGCTATTCAATGATTTGTGAGTGGCTCCCTGATCAATTACTGCTGTATTCCCCTGGTTTGCACCAGTCCCTGTTCAGTCTACCCACTTGGATAGAAAATCCCTAATACTATCACTGTCCTGTCTTCTCTTTGCTAGCTGAAACTTTGGGATAAGCCTACATGAAACAATTTCATAATGGTGGCTGAAGCTTCCTAGCAGGTCCAATTCAGATCCAAAATAAAAGTGCCAAAAGATCTGGACTAGGACCAAGTTCAAGACCTGAATTTTAAGGATAAATTTATAGATAATAAGGAAAAATTTAGAGTTAGAAAAAATTAATGAATTGACTAATTTATTGACTTATTTATCATTAGTAACAAATAAACAGACTAACCAAGCCAAAACAGAAACACCGAAAGAAATAAATCTTGTAGTTATATTAGACATCTGCATTATGATGACACATGGAACTGTGGGGTTTTTTTCTGAATGTCTCTCAGATGAAACCCAGCTGACTCTTTACTGAGATAATTATCTCTTAGGTAGAAAAAAAAAAAAAAAAAAAAGTATAATAAATTGCTTCTGTACTTTTGGGATTGCCATGCATTAAGCCCAACTGGCAACTGAGCAACGTGGACCCACATACTCACACTCCTCCCTACCCCTCCCATCCCCTTCTGGTGAAACAGGGCAGAGAATCAAATTAAAAACTTTTAGGTTCAGACAAAAACAGTTAAATAACTGAAATAAAGTAAAAAAAAAAAATTATATCAGTAAACAAAATAATGAAAATAAAGTGAAAAATCAAACTAACTGATGGACAATACAATTGTTCACTACCCACTAACAGATACCAAATCCTATCCCCAGCCCTCAGGTCAACTCCCCTGCTTTCTGTACTGAACATGACTTTGAAGGGCGTGAAATAAACCTTTGGTCAGTTCAGGTCTTCTGTCCCAGCTATACTTCCTCCTGCTTTTTGTCCATTTGAATACATTGTTTTACTTCATCATGGCAATGGTTTACTTTGAGTAATTAGTCCCTAGAGAAAATCCTTAGAGATAGCTGACAGTTGACTGTGTCTGGCTTTTGAGATTAGGCCAGCATTCATTGTTCTTGGGAGTGACAGAATCAAGGGTTTTTTCTCCTAGATAGTCAGGCATAAAATCACTAAAGGTACTTGCATGTTTAGAGGTATATTGTTTGCATATGAGATATTTTTTTTCCTTTGCATTCTTCTGCTCATTCTGGATATGAGATTGTTACTCTTCAATTTTTATATGCTTCTGAACAGGAATTTGAAAAAGATGACTCTTAGAAAATATGCGTACCAAAAAAAAAAAAAAATCAGTAGTTTTGGGTGGTATCCTTTTTCTTTCAGGAAACGATGATCCTTGTGGTTTTAGACATATTTTATCATGATTCCACAAGTTGGGCAAACACTAAAAATCCAAATTATGTGTGGAGATACAGTGTCTAATAAGGGCTGGGTTTAATGGTCTGTGTTCAGAATATTTTATGTGCTTCAAGTAACATATTTTGATCAGAGGATGAAAGCAGTGTGAGTACATTAGGGAGAAATTTTAAGGATTCATTACATGCAAGTTTTTTATCTCCAACACTTACTTTTTCCTTCAAAATGGATCAGGTTTAGAAATTACTTCTTTTTTAAGATGTAAAATGTTTCCCTTTCCCCCTCACCTTGGCTAAGTATTTTAAACTTCCACATAATCTGAACAAAAATACTGAGTCTCTTTCAGTTGCCTTGATATACTACAGTTGCAAGGCAACAGGATTTATTTTGCCTCATAATTTTTTTATTTAAATACTCTGGGTATCACGTTATTCAGATTCCCTGGATTCTCTTGTGTTTCTCCTATGAGAGGATAGAAGAGTAATACTGATAAACTGAAAATTGTGAAACTGTGAAGAAAAATTAAAATACTTCAGTAATTTTTAAAATTAAAATAATATTTTAAATGCTATTTTTAATCTCTGAATGTTTGCTTCTTAGTTAAGAAATAATAAAAAATAATATGAAATACAGTGCTTATGAAAGCTAAAATCCCTCTTTTGTGATAAATATTATCTTTCAATATTTTAAGTTTTTGACTCTTCCCTTCATCTCCCTTGCTTGGGTAAAAATACTGTATTTAATTGGATAAAAACAGAATACAAAGTATTTACTATTCAGTTATGATTAAATACCTAGGAATATATATATTAATTCTGCATTGCACATTTCTTCCTAAATATATCTGAACATAGCTTACTTTTCAAAAGGAATGAGGCAAACTTAATTGCCAAACTGATTTGAGGAAAAATAAGAGCAATTGTTTAGGCACACAGGATTTTCAGTTTATTTAGTTAGGCAGCAGCACGAGTCCTTTAGGGTACAGGTTGGACATGAAATTTATTTTCACAAGTCCAGTAATATGTCAGCTTAGTGCCATAGAGTTAAAGGTCTTTGCAAACAACTGGACATGAAAATTTAATTTGTAGTTACACTTTCTAAATTATAGTAAGTCAAAATAGTTCACAAGGTCCACAAGCAAAAAATCTAATATGCATTTAAATTTAGCGCATCATGGAGCGGTACTGCTCTCTCACATCCTTTGTGCAACCATGTTCTGATATATATTTAAAGAGAAAACAATATAAAATTCCACCTTGCTTATATTATTAAACATTTAGCTTCAATTTATTTCAATTCCACAAATGGAAATATCATTTAATTCCCTACAATAACTAATGTATGGAAAAAAAGTCATGCATAGAACTGTAATCTTACCAATGTTAAAGGTCTGTCTGAGTAAATTAATACAGCTCTGATGATGGGATTCAGGAATAGCTGAAAAGAGAGTAGAAAAATAAATGTTGCATATACGTGGTTTATTATTTGATCTACTAACTGCATTGTTTTGAATTAGTTATTCTGAATGTTGATCCTTTCAGTACACCTAAAATTAAATATTTGCAATTTTTTTCAGTGAAAAATTATTGTAACTAAAGCTAAGATGACCTTGTAGCATATGTTATACTTACATATTTACTGAATACTGATAGGTAGATAATATTGTATCACTTCTCTCACTTTTCAGAATCACATTAAAATTAAACTATATAACTCTAATAGGAACAGCTGAATGCATGTCTCTAACCATAGACTAACTTTTATCAGAATACAAAGCTTTAAAATTATGAATTCAGTTCATGGGCATTGATGCAACATTTTTCAGCTATTCTGCTTGGCATAACTAATTGAATTTTTTTTTTTTATTTATGAGACTGAGCAATTAAAAAGCAAGTGAAACTTTGCTGAAAAACTTAAATTTTTCTTGGCTCCAAGTGAAATGTTAAAAGCCCACAAGGATGTGATTCTGAGCCTTGTAAGAGGTACTCTGTTTTAAACTATCTAAGGAATTATTTATGTATTTGTCCAAACTGCAATAAAACAGAAGTAGTCAGCTTTCAAATAAACATTTGGCTGACTTTTCCAGCACTGCATACTACACCATAAAAATCTCCATCTCGGTCGCTGGTCTTCATTCTTGGAGCTCCATTCTTTGTTACATGACCTTTTCCCATTTCGATTTGTTACAATATTATCTTGCAATAAGCACCACCTCTGGTGCTGGTCACCCCTCTGTAGTATAGTCTGGAATACTATATTTCCAAGAATATATAGAATATATGCTTCTATTCCATGAATAATGTTTGTATAATGTTTGTGTAGCTATGGGTTAAGCATTTTTTTTTTTTTTTTTGGTTACAGGTGGAAGATTCATATTCTGTTGATTCCAGACAGGAGAGTGGGATAGTGGATTCTTCCTTTTGTGCTCCTTTGAACGCTTTTCATTCAGTCCTTTTTTCCTTGCTAGTCCTGCAGGCATAAATGAAGAGATAAAATAAAGCCTCAGTAATACAGAACACCAAAAGATAAATTCTCATCCCTTTTTTCCTGAAAATATAGGATCATAAGTCCCTATACTATTCTTTAGTGTTTTTCATTATAATGAAGCTGACCTTTCTGAATAGAAGGGTGTCTTTCTTCATGTGTAATATCTAATACAAAGGTAAAAATAATTAGGAATAACTTTAGGCATTGGAATTCACAACCACAGCACTGCAGGAAGGGGCTGAGTTAGAATCCATATGTTTTTCAATGCAAGTATTGTTCTGGAAGCTTGAAACCGAACTGACGGGGACAACTGGAAAATGACTTTATCTTGCAGCCTTATGGTGCTTCTTTTTTAAGAAATTCATTTGTAAAATTGTAACTAACCTGATTGTATTTTTAGAGGAAAAAAGGGGTGATTAAGGTGAATGCCCATAAGACATTCTATAAATCTTTAGATTACTGAGCCCCAAAGGACAAGTTCTACAGAATGGCATTACCTGGAGCGAAGGTGAACTGTGGGCCTGATGATGTGTGATAGATAAGGCTGGCTTCCTGTGTTGTATTTCTTTACTGCTGTACAAAAAAAGGACAAAGAATGAATACAATGACAATCCATACTGCACAATTATCCTCCTCCTTTCTGCCCTGGGAACTGCTCCAACTCTTTCTGCTAGGGCCACCTATTATCAAGAGAGATGCCCACAATTAATGTGGCTAATCCCACTGCAAAAGGAATGGCTCTGCATCCATTCCTGAATGAATGAATAGAAATATAGATAGACAGACAGACAGATAGATAGATAGATAGATAGACAGATAGATAGATAGACAGACAGATAGATAATGTATATCCCACAAGCTTCAGCACTTTAATTTATGGAGAGTTACATTGAATGTGCAACTAAATGTGATGGTGACTCAATAAGATTGGCTTTCCCAGAGCCTGCAGGTTAATTCCCTCTATTAGATTTCCCTAAATGTTCCTGTGTCAGTAAATCACAATGCTAGTCACATAAGACAGCCATGCTATGGGACTTGGACTTATTTTGGAACTCCATCCAGTTCGAAAGCCAGGACCACCAGTCTGAATTTAGAAAATAAGAACTTTCAGCTTTTCAACACAAACACTGAGAAGAAGTGAAATAATTAACAGAATTCTATTTTTCTGACTTTTTTTTTTTTGAAGCTTGCCTTGAGAGAAAAAAATATAAGACTGATCAAAAAAACATAAGATTAAATCTTCTTCCAAAAACAAAGTACAGGTGAAGTACTACTTCAGGCCAATAGGCCAATGTGGAGAATTGCTATAGGATATAATATTCAAGGAAATGTAATTGCTTTGGAGTCTGATTTGAACATTTCTATCAAGATTAGCATTTAGAGGGAATAAAAAAAAGCTAAGATCAGGAAATAAAAAGTGAAATCTTAGGAAGCAGTAGATAAAATGCATTTATCAAGTCTCTTGGTTTTATCTAGATCAAGTGATAGAAGATCTTTTTTTCTTAGGTACCTTGCCTTACCTTGCAAATAAACACAGGCTAAATAGGAGTAATGAGTGAAATCTAGCATTTGAGAACCCCTCAGGATAATTGGTTGGGTTTACATGATTTCACACTACAGGCATTCCTCCCTGGAGACATTTCATAGAAGTATAATTAACCAAGAAATGTAACAGATCAACTTGTTAGAAATTAGCCTCAAATCTATCCCTTTGTCATATTTGTAAACAACCCTAGGATGTCTTTTCCTTTTTAATATTTTTTATATATCTTATTTTTCCTTGAGAAAGATTTTAACAGCAATTTTTTTATTTAAAGTCTTTGAATTAGACTTTTTATATAGTTTTGCTTCTAAAAGAAATTTGGGACTTTTCCAAATGTTTGATAGGGCTGTCTGTCTAACAGTAACAAATTTGCGTGGACTGGAGTTAAACAATGTACAGAGAATGAAACTATCAAGCATCATCATTCTTTAATGTCAGGATGAGTGATAGATGGTTCATTGCTCCACAATGAAGCATCAACATTCATTATAATATTTCAGTTTTGACTTGGCAGTCCTTGATTCTCTTACCTCATTCTTTCTTCACAGAAGGTATTACAACCAAGACAACTTGTAAAACTGTACCTCAAACTAAGTTGTTATTTTAGTTTGTTCTTTCTCTGCATTTTTTTACTTTACATTAAATTGGTATCAAATACCACTATAATAGATACTAACTTTGCTCTATTAAGAATGCTGACATCAGCAAGTGTCATAGAGACTGTCCCCAGTTTCTGTTATCAGAAGAATGAGGCACCAAGACATCCATTTGAAGGTTTGTTTTTCCTGAAAAGAAAACTGAGCAGACTACGCTCAGCTCAGACTGCAGCCCCAAAAAGTTCTCTGCAAACTTTAATTTTTTTCTGAAAAACTTATGCATTAATTTAATTAATTCAGCATAGTGTTTCTTTACAAATTTTTAGATGAAGCAGTAAAAAGTGAGCTCTTAGAGATTAGGGAACAAATCTCCTTTCATGTTATACTCCAAATCTTGCTATAGGCAAAAGCTAAACACATGTAATATTAAAAACCCCAAGAATTTCTTCTTAGTGCAACTGAAATATTAACATGCTAAACAAAGATTTATTAGTCCATATCTACTTATTGCAGGAAAGCTAAAAATATTTAAAATATTAATATAAAATCCTTTTTCTGGTTTTATGCTGATTCTTCAGCTGTCCTTGGCTTCAGCCACAGGAGTGACTAGAAAGTCACCTACATCCTGAGCTCTTCACCAAGACGCATATGATATTGGTGGTTTCTTTTTTTTTCATACTAGGAATTCCATAGTTTTATTTTACTTACTTGTTAACTGACTCCACACCTGGCTCCACATTCACTGATCTGCAAGTCCATGTTACATTCAAATTTTCTCCCTATATTTCTTACATATGTATATGATGCATTAGATCCTTGTTCTTCATTCTTTTTGTTATCCTCAAATTTGTTTTACCCAGCTCATAGGGCTGCAGTTCTTCAGCTATTGGTGGGTAATTTACAGACTCAAGATTTCCATTGTCAGGATATGCCCTTGCTCTAATCATGCAGCATCTGTATATTTCTCCCTTATGGAAAGTCCTCAACATAGTGGGAATATCTTTCCCCATGTCAAGGCCCCTGCTGTCATCTGAAATTCATCCATACTCACCCGTAGCTCAGGAGAAGTGAGCAAAGATCTCTCTCAAAATCTCTTACGCTGCACACTGAGTAAAACAGTAAATTTTTCTGTGCTGTGTATTTTTACAGTAGTTTCTTCAACTATTTGGATTTTCTCCTCATGGGTGAGATTGATGGTAAATTCATTTTTTTTTAATTCTATTCCACACTTTTTTTCCCAACACTATTTCCCATACACTAGTGCATTCTCAAGTTGGGACTTGGAAAATTACCACTTAAGTGTTGCAATTTCTATCTGTTCAGGCAGCCACTTTGCTGCTTGTTTTGCCCAGAGGGGAAACCCTGTACTCCAGTTGCAAGTATTGAAGGTGGGGAGAAAATCTGTTTCAGGGTGTATCTATCACCAAATCTGCATGAATACAGTGTACTATGTGAATATGTTCAGCTTCTTTCCTTCAGGTGTGGCTCCCATGGAAACTGGAGGGATTGGTGTAAATTGGATGCTAAATGGTTGTACTAGACTGGGAAATCCTGGGGAACATGTAGTCTGGGCTAACCTGGGTTTAGTTAATGTCTGGGCCAGTCATGGCCCATATCTCCAGCCTCATTCTCCTCTTTTTCTTAAACACCTCAGGTAAAAGTCTATTAAATTCTATTCATATGGGTATGAACCCTGAGAAAATCAAATAGCTTCTATAGAGGTGTTAACTCATGTCCATTTGGAGTAAGAGATTTTTTTTTTTATTTTCTGCTCAGTAGCTGTGATCAATATTCATGTCAATGTATTTTTGTGCATTTCACTCTGTATTATTTGAGGTTTTTTTAACTTTGAATCTTTTCACAAGACTTTTTTGCTATTAACTCCTTCACCCCTAATTGAGGTGGACAAGAAGGAATAAATCATCTGCATATGAAATTCCATAGGCTCAGTTAACTTCTGATATTTTTCATATGACCAGATAACACGAGCACCATAGGTATCTAGGGCATTGTGAAATCCTTGAGTAACTCGAGGAAATCAGAGCCACTGACCTTTGAATGTAAAGACAAGCTTGAACTAACAAATCCTAGAAATGTGATTAGAAAGAAAAAAAATTGCATTTTTTACCCTTGCATTGCCTTAGAAGACGTTTCTTTCAGAACCTTTGGCATTTTCTGCTACAACATTGTTTAGTCATTGCAAGACAAAATAATCCATAGGTAATGATAATCATACTCTGGCTGCGTTGTAAAACAAGTGGATAATTACCTTGACAGAATAAAGTCTGACACTTACTGAGCATCAGCCTCTGGGGCATATGGTCTGAAACAAAATATTTCACAGATTTGGGCTTTGAGACATTAAATAACTTGAATGTTTTTAATATTTTTATGAGTTTTCAGAGTGACTTAACTCTTTACTGTATTTTTTTTCAACAATCTCACTCAAAGGTTGCTATTTTAGCAATCATCTACCATTGTGAACGATCTCTTAGGTTTGTATGATACTATACCAGTGCCTAAAATTATCCCTGTGTTTAAAAGCATATTTGGTTTGGGCCTATGCAAATAAAATCATACAGCTTGCAATGCTATGATTTGGAGAAGATTCAGTCCTAAGAAATATGAGAAAGAAAGTAGGAAAACTTTCTCTGTAAACTAAGTGCTTCTGGGAAAAAAAAAAAAGAAATAGAAAAAATAACACTGAAGTAAAATAGTAAAATGTTATGAAATTGGAAATAAGTTGATAATTGAAATGAGTGTTGTGGTAACATAATCATATAATTCCAGAAATTAGTGACAAGATGCTAATAGCTGGAATATGAGGGAGTCAGTCCTTTGGGGAATTAATTGTCACGAAAAATTTTTTAAGTAGAAGAACATGCCTATTCCTTACCTTTCTTAGCAGAACAGCAAGAAATATGTCACACCAAAAGGGTT